GAAATTAAAATCATATTAACCTAAATCAAATTATTAATTATCTTATTAGGCGTGATTTCAAGTGTAAATTCCCTTTAAACCTGCAAGAAGGGGTGTGATCAAGCAATAACAATCAATCATGAATAATCAAGAAACATATAATAATTGACACAACAATCATCATCATAATCAAAACATCATCGAAACATTATTAAAACATGATTAGCAAGATCTTAGGCATGATACTAAACGGATTAATAACAAATCCTAGCATGTCACTAATAAAAAAGATCAAAGCTTTATTCTAAACATGATACTAGAAAGCATGACATGATATTTGAAATATTAATTAACACCCTAAACATGATACTAAGAATCAAAATAAACATCCTAACATGATTTCTAGGAATCAAAATAAACATCCTAACATGATTTCTATATCAAAGGAATGATTAAGTAATTGAATAACTTACTTTGATGCCTCGTATCTCTTTCTATCAAAACAATACACACGTTAATAAATTTCAAGAAAGAAATAAATCAAACAAACCAAATAAATCAAATAAGAATTGAAATATAGATTTTGGACCAAACCCTCAGAACTATCAACCTTACACGTCGAGGTCGAAGGTAACTTCGAGATTGTCTTGGAGTATTCGAGACTCGTAAACGAGGTATGGTGTATGATGTCGAGAAAAGTGTTGAGATGCGTTTAGACTAAGGCTAGAAAAAAAAGAGAGAGAGAATAAGCTTTTAGCTTAGACAGAGGATTAGATGATGATTGTTGGTGAATAAAAACGAGGTAATACGACTTCTATTTATAAGGAAAAACGAGGGTCGAAGGATTAAAAAATAGTCCGAATTCGACTTGGAGTAAAACAGGTTCCATTGCGGCGCAATAGGCTTATTCGCGCCGCAATGGTACCGTCGCTCAACAATGGTTTTTGAAAGATTGAATCTTGCGGAATCCGACTTCCAATTAAATTGGGTTGATCGAATTTCTGTACGTATTCTAATTTTATCAGAATTAAAATCATTAAAAAACAAGTGTTTTATCCGGTGTAAAATTCTTAAGTCTTTATCTTTCGAGGCAAGGATAAATCAGATGCTTCTAGAGACTTCTAGAAGTTCCTAATGAATCCTAATTGGTTTAGGATTGAGATTAAGGTATTTGGACCCTCACGTGATCATTGGGTCGTAGATAAGGTGGACCTAGGTCCGGTTTGGGCTTGATTAAGTATTTTGGCCATAACTTCCTCGTTATAACTCGGATTTGGGCTAATTTTTTTTTAATTTTTTTTATACTTATTTTTGTTTTTGTTTTTAACTTTTCTTTTTTTTATTTTGACCAATTATTGAGCGACACGTGGCTTTAAAAAAAATATCTTAACCTGTTTAACAGGTTATAGGTAAAATGGTCTATTAAAAGAATATGACATACAAAGGTGAGATTGTTTTGTAATAACCAAAAGGCGAGATTGTTATTACCAGACCACGCAAAGGTGGGATTATTTATTTTCATTTTTTCCTTAATTATTTAAATATCAAATAAGTGTATAAAATAATATGAGTCATTGATTGAGGCAATAAAAGTGTTTTGAATTGGGTCAACATTATTTAAATTGTTAGATCAACTTGTTGAGAATTAAAGAACACTTAACAACCCAACAAGTTGCCCTCAAGGGAGAGGTTAAGGGGAAGTATGATTAGTAATGGCAATTTTGATAAATAAGTATTTTTGTTTTAAAAAGGGGATATAAATACCTTAAAACCCCAAGAATTTTACACTCTAAAAATCATATTGTCAGATTTCACAAAAACTCCAAAAGTTTTTCCTCTTATTTTCTCTCTCCTTTTTCCTCTTTTTTTTTCTTTTTTTTTTCTCCTCTTTCCCACGTCTCTCTCTCTTCTCTTCTCTTCTCCTCATGTCCACCAGCCACCGGCGACCAACAGCAGCACTGGCGCACCACCGGTGTCCGGGTGCCACTCGTCCTCTCTCCTCCCTTACGGTCGGTATTAAGAAAAAAAAACTCTTTCTTTTCCCTAATTTATATCTAGCTTGTTTTAATTACTTTAAAGCATGATTTTGATTATGTTTTGGTATTGATTTTGGGTAGTTGATGTTGTTAATTTATTTATGTAATTTTCAGATTTTAATTTAATCAAAAACCCTAATTTACAAACCCTAGAATTTGGGAATTTAATGTATATGGTTAGGGTTTGATCCTAGGTTGTTGTGGTTGTTAAATTAATTATTTAAACATGTTTCTAATGGGTTTTAAGCCCTCAATTAATGATGGAATTTAATTATACACACTAAATTTTAATTATAGTGTTAGGGTTTGATTACCCAGGGAAAAAAGTTTTAATGATTTCCTAGTCTATTAGTGATGTTTTATAGTAAATAAGTATGCTGGAATTTTATTTAAGTCATGAAAATTAAATCTTTTTGAAAGGATTTTTAATACACACTTAAAGAAAAGGTTTTAAGGCTTTTAAACCAATTAAATTAGGTTAATTAGTAAGGTTTAAATTATATTATTGTTGCTGAAAATTTGTGAGAATAGTGGATTAATTATAGTTATGTATTTTTATTTGTAGGAAACTTTAAGATAGGTGATTTCTAGTGAGTGTAGGCGTGTGGCCGAGTTAAAAGTAAATGACAATTTCTAACCTATCTTTTTAATAAGAAAAGATACACAATTGTTAATGGTCTAAACCAAAATGGTTAGTTAATGGTATCCTTATCCCACTATCCGTATCTTATCGGAGTTAAGGAATGTGGGCGGTATGGTCTAATTGGGTAAGTCGGAACATTCGCAAATATTCTCATAACAAACATTAACACATTACACACACCTTCTCTAGTTCTCCTTTGCTCTGAGTCTTTCTCTCATTTCAGCAATCAACATTGAACATTCCACCCCGCCTGCTTTTCCCCTTCACCTTACTCTCTTTCTCTCTCCTCTCTTTAATAATTCAATTCCTTTTCTTAATTACAAACTTTGCTTTTTATTCTCTCCCCTTTTTTCTTCTTACTACTCTTGATTCTCCTATTTCACCATATCATAAAAATCATAAATTTAATAAAAAAAAAAACCCAATTGAATTTAAATTAAATTAAACCACAAAAATGGAAAAGTACGAGGTAATGAAGCAATTGGGTGCTGGGAATTTTGGTGTTGCAAGATTAATGCGTCATAAAGAAACTAAAGAACTTGTTGCCATGAAATTCATCGAGCGTGGTCAAAAGGTTGTTTTTTTTTTTTTTTTCTTTTTTTCTTTTGGTGAATTTTTTGAATTTTTGAATTTTAATTCTGGGTTTGATTCAGAAAAGAAATCATGAAAATACCCAGTTGGTAATTTATCAAAATTTTTCATTTTGATTACTTTTTTGCAGATTGATGAGAGTGTGGCAAGAGAAATTATCAACCACAGGTCGCTTCGTCACCCTAACATTATTCAATTTAAGGAGGTAATTTTGGGGTTAATTGTTCAATATTATTGTTATATAGAGGCAGTGGTGTAGACGGGATTCGATCCGAGATCTTATTTATTAAATTATTGTAACTAGTAACTAGTATGGAGTATTGATGATACTATAGAGAATAAAAATTAGTAATTTGAGTGTGAATTTTAATGATTTTCAGGTGGTTTTGACACCAACTCATCTGGGAATTGTGATGGAATATGCCGCCGGCGGTGAGCTTTTTGACCGGATTTGCACTGCCGGTCGTTTTAGTGAGGATGAGGTATAAATCAAATGTTTTTTTCAATTACTTTTTAATTTAGGTTGATGCTTTTTCTATTTTTCTTATTGTTTTTTGGTTTGTTTGAAGTATATTAAGTTGATTTGTAGTGAGTTGTTTATGATGCAGTTAACTTATTACTAAGGACTTTAAATTTTTTGTTTTAATTTGCATTTGCATCCTTCTTTGGGTTGAAATTGAGCCCACTTGGAATTATAGTAACAATCAATAATTCAATAGCATGTTGTTGAATCTTAAAAAAAAAAAAAAATCACTGTCTTGTTTAGTAATCATTCCCACCCTAAGGCCCTGTGTAGTTCACCTTATTTTTACTTATTTCAGAAAAAATAAGTTCAGATCACATCAGATCAGAAAAAATAAGTTCAGATCAGATCAGGAAAAATAAGTTCAGATCAGATCAGAAAAAATAAGTTCAGATCAGAAAAAATAAGTTTAGATCAAATTATTATTATTATTATTATTATTATTATTATTATTATTATTATTATTATTATTGATTTATGATGTATCTTGATTTTATCGTTTGTTTGAACTAGCAACATTGTCTATGTTATTAAATAGCACAAACAATAAACGATACTAATTAAAATTTCATTGTAAGCTCCAAATCATAAACGTTTACAAATATAATATTCATTTCAAGACGTTCCAAATTTCCTTTGCTATATTAAGTTGTACTTCTTTCATTACAGTTTTACGATTCTCGTTAAACAAATCATAATCTGCTCTTGGTTCGATTTCTATACCACTATCAATGGGTATATCCAACTCATGTAATCGAATAAAATTGTGAAGTGTGAATGTAGCAACCATAATTGCCAATTGATGTTTAGTGTCCATTTGTGGCATCATTGTCAATATTTTCCATCGACCTTTTAATTGTCCAAAACATCTCTCGATCGTTGTTCGAAGTGAAGAGTGAAGATAATTAAAAAGTTCAAGCATGCCTTGTGGTGGTGGACCATTTCGAAATTCAGGCAAATGGGTTCTAATATCTTTTTCTTTTATTGGACTCAAATATCCAACGGTATTCGGATATCCAGAATCTACTAGATAATATTTTCCTGTTACAAAATAAAATTATACAGCATATTAGTATAGTGTCATGTATGGAGTAAAAACATACACTATTTTAAATTATACCGGGAGGTGGATGGGGAAATCGAAATTCTGGTACAGTTAAGCAATGGTTCCATACAGTAATATCATGAGCACTACCTTCAAATCCAACGTTGATAAACGTGAAAAGCCTATCAAAGGAACAAGCAGCCAAAACATTTCATGTTTTTTTTCCTTTACGCCCTCGGTGTGTCACACCATCATCATCGCTTACAACTGCATTTATATGAGTCCCATCCAATGCTCCTACACAATCTTAATAGTTCATTAACATTTAGGATACATTTTATAAGTGATTATATATTGCATATGCATAAAATAATATAATGACAATGCAAGATAATAATAATGTTTCTTAATACCTTGAAATATGGCCAATATTTTGTGCTGTCACCTATTTTTTTTGGCACCACGATCAAACTTTGGTATGGTCTTATGATCTCGGTAGACAAATGAACCATTGCTTCCAGTACTTGTTTAAAGTACAACCCAATTGTTGCAATAGAGTGCTGAAATCGACCGGCAGCATCACGATAAGAACTGCCTTTAGCCATGATATATAAAAATATTCCTAATTGCTCAGCCACAGATATGTAACGACCATCCGATAATAAATTTTTATTTTTCATGCAAGTAACAAGATCCACAAATATGTTTCTATCTAATCTCAATTGTTCTTTGCATAAATCAGGATGCGCATGTAGTAGTCTGTTTATGTATTCGCTACCAGATTCTCCACCTAACCTTAGAGGCAATCTCTCAATTGGTGTAAGAAGTCTCTTTAGCTCTTCCAATGCGATAATTGTCAAGCACATTGGAAGCGTGTTATCCATTCTACAACATAAACCAACAAAATACCAACATTATTCAATTTGTAAAATAAAATCAACAATGACTTTTAAAATAAAGGCTAAAGCTTCTTAATTAGATCACCTGAAAAGCAATAGCATCATATGAAGCTACTTAAACCTAAAGGTCAGAAAAAATAGTAGCTTCATATGTGGAACCTTAATTAAAACTAGAACAACATCAAATAACTAACAAAGAACATATGAAAGTGCAAAACAAGTCATAGGAAAACATAATCCAAAGTTAACTTCAAATACTCATCTCCCCAAAAAAACTAATTAAGGACCACCCAATGTTGGATCTTGAAATGCTGTCTTCAAATACATGATCTTCTGATCATCAGTACACAAACCTAAGAAGAAATCTGCATTATCGCCATGATGAAGAAAATTCTTACATTGGTAAATAAATCCTTCTCCTTGTTGAACAATAGCCTCAATATTGTATAGAGTATCTAAGACATCTTTATACTTATTACCACTCTCTTGCTTACAATTAGTTTCAATAGACATTTTCAACAACTCTATACAAGAGTCAATGTTACTACTCTTGTTTTTTTTAAGTTTACTAGTACATCCATCACTCTTACGTTTCCCCAACGAGGTACTTTTAGGAGGTGAAATGCTCTGTTCATCATCCGAATTATTTATTACCCTACTTATTTCCATATCTCCTATATTTTCATCATTGTCCCCGGACCTTTCCTCATTTTCTTTACCAATTTGTTCCCCACCTAATCCGGGAGAAAAACTCCATTTGCTAGTAGCAAAAGACCCTGAAAAAAGTGCCCGTAACTTCTCTAGATGAGGCAATGGTCTCCTTAGGAATCTCGCTGGCAGACCTTTATGTTTCTGCATAAATGCACAAAACTTCGATTAAATAAATTTTAAAATAAACTAGTATTGTAGAGGTCATAATGCAACAAAATGGATAAACAAAATGTCGTACCTTCACAAATATATTCCACCTATCATCTTGTTCAACTACAGGACAACCAGTAATAGGATCAAATGTAAGACCGGTCCAATTAAGTTCCATTTCATTCCAAATTTTGAACCTTTTCCTTAAATCATCCCAATGATTTCTTGCTTGTTTAATGTTGAAATTCTTCCCACTTTTAACGTTCAAAGTACTCACTATTCTATCCCAATTAACCTTTGATAGTCCACCTGCTTTCATCTCCAAGCATATGTCCAAAAAAATTTCTGTACTGTCATCAGACCATGCTACCCTATCAGCCATTACACTATGATCAAGAGCACTTTAAAATTATTAGTTTCATGCATGAAGGATATAGATAATCAAAATAAGTACATAAATATATACGTTACGTTTCTTCTTCATCAAAAAATATATACGTTCCACTTCTAACATCTATTGAGAAACTAGGACCAAATAACCAAGGACATAGATTATCATCAAATTGCCCATTAGCTGAGTTGGTTGGTTAAAGCGTCGAGCTAATAACGCGAAGGTCCCAGGTTTGATCCCTGCATGGGCCATATTTTTGGTTTTCTCACAATCCTCTTTCTATTATTTTGCAATTTATTTTTATTTAAAAAAAAAAATAAAAATAAATGGGTTTTCAGAACTAGTGGCGTAAATTGTAATGGTTACATCACATCAACCGCAAAGTTCACGCAAGCACAAAACAAGAGTTTACCGAATTTTATAATTTAATTTTCCATTCCTCTTCAATATAACAATTTCCCTAAAATTAAAAAAAAAAAACAACCATAAAAACCCGAAAACCCTAATTCCCCTCCCCTTTCATTTCTCTTTTCTCTCTCCTCTCCTCTGCCTCTTTCCCCTTTCTCTCTCCTCCTTCCTCCATCCCTCCGTAATATCTCTTTACCTTCCTCCTCTGATATCTTTTCCTTCTCCTCTCTATTTTCGATTGAGTTCTCCTCCTCCTCCTCCTTTTCTCTTCTCTCTCATCAACCACTAACCAAGCCGCCATTAACGAAGCATCTATTGTCATTTTTAAAGGTTTTTAAGGTCAATTTCGACCAAGAAAACTCTAAAGCTAGAGGTTTCTTGGTCGAATTTGGCCTTATTAACCAAGTTTGAGGTGAAGTTCGAACCTATTTCAGATTTTGAGGTAAGATTTCGTGATTTTAATTTTTTTTTTTTTTTAAATTGTTGAAATTCGATTTTTGGTTGGTTTTTGTGGTAGGTTTTGGATGGTTGGGGTGGTGACGGTGGTGGTTTGGGAGGGTTGGGAATGCCGAGGTGGGGGTGGTGGTGGTGGGGATCTGGGATTTGTGGTTAATTTCGAACGGTTTGGGTGGTTTGGGTGTTTTCGGGAGTGGTGGGTGCCTGTGGTGGTTATGTGCAGTGGGTGCGTGTGGTGGGGATGGGGGGCTGGTGGAAGGGTTGGTGCGTGTGGTGGGTGTGTGTGGTGGGTGTGTGATGAAGTGATGATTGTAGACGAAATTATACTCCGTAACTACGTAGTATGTAAAATTATAAGTTCAATTATAATTATAAGTGTTGAAGTATTGTATCAACTACACGTAACTTCCATCAAGTTATAAGTTCAATTATAAGCTCCCAAATGTATACTTCGTATGTATGTAAAATAAATTCTGAAATTATTCAACTGTATACTATAGACGCCCAACAGATGAAGTGATGATTGTAGATGAAATTATGAAAATATAATAAAAAAATAACAAAGAGTTAAGGTATTTACCTGTCGACAAGATTGTATACGAGCAAGCTACTACAATGACCAACAGAAGGACAAAATTTGGGAGAGATTGATGTGTTGTAGGTAAGAGATATTGCAATACGAAAAAATATATATATACACAAAAAAAAAACTGTAGTACCAAACTACCAATACTCCCAATTAATATTTTTGTCACCCAACTCAGATTTCTAGAATTGACTGACAGTAAAATTACAGTACCGAGAAACCCAATTCAGATTACAGAAAAAGTAATTCAAAATAAAAAAAATGGTGAAGAGTAGCAACAATGGTGAAGAGTGTAAAGTAAGCACAAAAAACAGAGAGGAGAGAGAAAGTGTGAGTACAGAAAAAGAGATAGACAGTTGTTATAAGAAAAAAAAAAGCAAGGTCAAAATCTGGAAAAGTGAAAAATTAAAGAACAGAAAACAAAGTAAAAAAATAATTAAATCATTCCAAAAGGTTAATTAAAATAAAAATCATTTATATGTTGCATTTGCTACATGAATTGAAAAGCTAAACTTATATAGCTGAAAATAAGGTTAATTATGAATCATTTTCCTTACCTTACTTGAAGTTAAAAACATATATGCGTGTAAGTGGTCATATTCGGACTTGATTTACTCGAATAACATACAATCCCATCGTTTATTTATCTATTTATTTATTTGTTACTAATGCATCAAAAAATCTTAAATTTTTTGGAAAAGAGACCAAAATTGACCCATTATCACTCTCTCTATGGGTTGACTACGTGAGAAAATAAGGTGGTCAGAGTGGTGATAGAACTCTTTGCCTGAGTAAGCTTAAACAGTGAAGACTGAAGAGTCGTAAATTTCATGACTGTTGCTTATAATTTACGCATTTTTAGCCTTAACCTTGGTCTGCAAGCAATAGCCCAGGGTGACCAAAAAAAATTAACAGTACGTACAGTTACATTTATGGGTACTTGTGTGTTTTCTGCCCTAAAATTGACCACATTTATTATGTTGTGATCATTGAATAATGCTATCATCTTTGATTCTTTGAACATACATACATGTTCAGATTGATTCCTCAGTGACTAAACCATCTATACTAGTGAAATTGATATGTACAAATTTTACGAGTAGAAATCTCGCGTTTGATCTTAATGAATGAAAAAATGTAAATGTTTCTTTTTTAACTTGTTTATATGAACCCTAGCGACACGAATTCCGTAGCTACATCTGCTGTATTTTTTCTATAATCTTTCTTCATTAGGGTGGTAATGATGATTTCAAGTTTATGGAGTTGTTTGATTTGTAGAGTACGTGTTCTTAGTTTTAGTTTTGCAATTTGGTCTTACAATTCTGTACTCTATAGTTCAACACTTCAACTCTTATACTACGTACAATTTTACCAATTTTAATTTTCACACTATTCCAAACCTTTATCACTCAATTCCAGTGATTCCACGCCTTTTCTAAACTCAACCAAACAGTCCACATTTTTATGGGTTCTGACGTTATGAGTAGTAATTTCTTTTATAAGATTAGTATTTCTTTCTCTACAGAAAGCCAGCCCTAAATGCCATAGACTACGACAAAGTTGTTTTGGTTATTTGGGCATTTTAATTTTCAATCGGACACATTTTCTACTTTTGGAATTTCACAAATAAATTATTTTATATTTTATAAAAATAGATGTTCTATAGCTTATTGTGATACTTTTGGAGTATCATTCACACCATAATCTAGTTAATGGTTAATTATATAATATGATTATATGTTTTAAACAAGTGATGTTAAAAACTAACTTGATTTGAAACAACTAAGAGTGAGTTAGTCTATTATTTGATCAACTCATTGTAATTTGTAAAAAGTCAACAATTTCGGGCAATAGTGTGTGTAACCGTGTAACACCAATATAGTGCAAACAACTCATGCATGAAACAACATTAAAAAATGTAGTACCAATCTATTTTGTACGAGTATCATTTTAATTTTTTTTTTTGGCACTTGTAATTTACTTACGGAGTGTAATTCGTGCGTGACCCAAATCATGTCTTCCAAGTTTTAATAGAGGAGCCTAGCGCTAACATGGGTCGGAAGAACCTATGAGAGGCTCCAACTCGGTAGAGTCTTTTTCTGTATATAAAAAAAAAAGGTTCAATAGAGGAACAAATGAATAAAAAAACACTTAAACACCCTAAACAAGTTAAATATAAAAGCTTAAATAAAAAAAGGAAAATGAAATCTAATAATCCCACCTTTGCTCCTATCTTCCGGTAACAATCTCACCTTTTGAAATTTTAGAAACAATTCAATTAACAATAATGATATTATTATTATTATTTAATAATAATAATATAATATAATAGTAATAATAATATAATAGTAATAATAATATAATATAATATAATAATAATAATAATAATATAATATCATATAATAATAATAATAATATAATATCATATAATAATAATAATAATAATATAATAATAATAATAACAATAATAATAATTAAACATTAATATTAATTAACATTCAAAGTAGAATATTGAAATAATTAAAATAAGGTCAAATCAGAAAAAATAAGTTCAGATCAGATCAGAAAAAATAAGTTCAGATCAGATCAGAAAAAATAAGTTCAGATCAGATCAGAAAAAATAAGTTCAGATCAGATCAGAAAAAATAAGTTCAGACCAGATCAGATCAGAAAAAATAAGTTCAGATCAGATCAGCTAAAATCAGGTGAACTAAACAGCCTCTAAGTTTAATCTATGAGAAAACCACACTTTGTTCACTATTAGTGCTTCAGTATTTATACTTCTACCCTGTTTAGGGTTTTCACGCCTTATATTCTCCTGATCTAAGTAATCAAGCAATAATACCAATATATTCCCATTGTTTCTAACAACCTTAATGAAATTCACAAAAGAAGATACTTTATATATCTTTAAAAGGTTATACATCTTTTATTTATGTCAATAATAAATGATAACCCCTACAAAGTATATGAAAGCATAATAATCTTTGTTAGAGTGAAAACATGCTCAACTTACAACTTGCATTCTGGGAAACGATAAAAGGCTAATACGTGGTTATTCAATATGCCAAGTAATACAACATAAAAACTCTTGCCTATGTGCAAATAAATTAATACCAGGACCCAAGTGTATCAAATTTTAAAGTGATAGCTTCTTCATTGGGTGTCTTTGATTCTACATCATTTCCTCCCTCTTCAAAATAATTTGCCCAACATTAAAGGCAAGTTCCTGACATTAAAGTTAACACTCATGCCTCCAGCATCACTAGGTAGCTCAATCTTGTATGCACTATCACCATATCTCGAATGACTATCAGCTTGACGTTAAGTTCTTTCTCTACCAGGGGAAATGTTCCTTCCTCAAATGTATTGAAACCAAATCTCTAGCTTGAGATAATGTCTCTTAATAGCTCGAGTTTGAAGTTTGATATTTCTTATTATCTTCTTAATCCGAGCTTTCACTTCAGCACAAGTTTTTTTAAAAGATTCAAGTTTCTTCTTTGATGCTATATGTTCAATCTCACTTTTGAAAAGGAGGCAATTTCAATGAAAGAAATGGATTAATGCCATACACCACCTCAAAATGAAGAATGATATGTAATAGTCGAATGAAATCTCTTGTAAGCGAACTCATCTTTTTGCTGATTAGTGACCTTGGGCCTGGGTGGTGGGAAGTTCTAACCAATTTAGTACCTACAAATTTCCATAAAGTTTGCCAAACGTGACTTAGAAACTTATTGTCATGATCAGAGAGTATACTCCTATGAATGACATGTAACTTCACTATCTAATTGCAGTAGAGATCAATAACATAAGAAGCATATCTGTTTTATGGAAAATAAAGCTTGCCATCTTAAAGAATCAGCAACCATAATGATATCCTTACCTTGTTGAGTTCCTAGGAAGTCTAACTATAAAATCCATACTCACACTCTCCTAGGAACTAGAAGTGGAGTGTAAGGGCCCTTAGAAGTACTCTTCGCTCCAAAATTACTCGCCAATCCACTACCATGCACCTCTTGAATAAGTAATTCTTGTACCCTATAATGAGGAATGCACAACCTGTTACCCTTACACAAAAAACCATCTTGCACAATATTTGATTGAGCAGGGTTTTCAAGTTAGTGCGAATTCAGAATCAATTGTATATTGTGCCTTCTACTTCTCAAATCTAAGAATTCGAGCATCCACCATAGCAAGTAAATGAATCATTCGTGAAAGAGCATCAATACCAACATTGCTCTTCCAATCCTTATATCTAAACTGAAGGTAAATAATTGTAAGAACTCTATAAGAACTCAACCTGCTTAGCATGCATGTGATTAAGAGCTTTAGCATCAGGATACTCCCTTATTGTATGTCGTGATAATTAAAGCATCTCTGATTATGCTGCTACTTTTCTCTAATGAACACCTTCCTGTTTTTATAGTCTTCTTAGGATCCTTGTTGTATCCACTTGTAATAGATTTGTAGTTACTTGACGATGGACTAGATTTGACAATAGTGAGATCCACTTTTGTAGTTGGTTGCATTACTTTTATAACTACTAGAGGGTGTTCTCGAGATCAATTTTGTCGGAGATCTTTTTTGACAACCCTTTTAAGTACCTGACAATATGTCCCACTTTCTTGAATATCACACTATATAATTTATCTATTAAATTTTCTTGTGTATTCATCTTCCTCCAGGGTTAGTTTAATGTATAGTTCCTGCTCATTTTTATTTTAATTTTTTTTCTTTCAA